ACCTTAAAATTCAACCAGAAGGAATTATTTCTGAGCTCACACTAACTCAGTGCACATACTTGTGGCTGTTCAGTTCATGCACTTCATAACAGCACACAAACAGCTCCTTTTTCTAACATTTGTAACAGAGCAAAAGACAAAAAGACTTCTATAAATTTGAAAATATAGTCTTAAAATGACAAAAAAAGGGGCAAAAGCTGCTTACTGCTGCTAAACTTCCCAAGACTTCATGGCAACAAAGTGCCTGTCAATAACAGCCAGAGGAAAAGGGTTTCCAACTACTTTGTTACACCATATCACACTCTGAATGCTCTGATTATTTGCATTTGTATCAGCTGCTTTATCTGGGGCATTTTTAAAAGCAGTATTGAATCCAGCTCCATAATTCAAGACTAACTTTTATTTCCCTAGGCCAACACAAAAAATTGAGTATTGATCTTGACAACTGCTCCTTTTTTCCAGGAGCTAAATCACATCCTCTGCTGATTAACCCAGGCTCCAGCAGCTTATTTTAAGGGATAGGCTGCATGAGAACCATTGGAATTTTTTCATATGAGGACAAACCTTCCATTACCATAAGCCTGTTCTATAAAGAATCACTGCCACACATTTCTGGGGGGCAATTATGGGGTTTCTCAGGACTTTTCCTCCCCTCCCATTCCTTACCAAACAATTTTGCTGTCAGACTGGGGAGTTTCCTGCTTCCAAACCACAGGGTCACAAAACCTTCCTTATTTTACAAGTCACCTGCTGCCACCATCCAAAAAGGCAGAGAATTATAGAATCTTTAGGGCTGGAAAAGCCCTCTAAGACCATCGAGTCCAACCATGAAGCCAGCACCACCATGTCCACCACTAAACCATCTCCCCAGGGGCCACATCCACACACCTTTTGAACACTTCCAGGGACGGGTGCCCCGTTCCAGGGCTTGACAACCCTCTCAGTGAAGAATTTTTCATCTAAACCTTCCCTGACGCAACTTGAGGCCATTTCCACTTGTTCCCTGGGAGCAGAGCCTGACCCTCATCTGGCTGCTCCCTCCTTTGAGGGAATTTCAGAGAGCAACAAGGTCCCCCTGAGCCTCCTTTTCTTCAGCCTGAACAACTGATGAAGAAGCAGCCAGTGTTCTAATGGAGTGAATGGGAAGGTAATGTTCAAGGCAGCTTTCCAGGCAGTATTTTAATCAGGGCTAAATATTAATTGTAAAGAAAGTCTTTTCTCTGTCCCTTTATTAATATTCATTTAACTGTTACTCTCTGGCCTTGCTTTTCGCCTGAGTTCGTCCCACCAGAAGGCAAACACTTTTCAGATGATGATCCCCCCAAGATGATGACCTCAATTGCAAGCTCTGCCCTTTTCCCCCCCCATCCACCAGAGCCCAAAAGGTCTTTTCCATTATTCTGCTTTTCTGTGGAAAACTAAACAAAGAAAAAAAAAAAAAAGCAGGGGAACAGTCAATAAGCAGAGAGAAGAAAATAAGTCTCAAGCTTCCCAAAGCACACTCTGGCGAACAAAGCCCATGAAACAAGGATTTTAGAGAGCTCTGTTTATCTACAGAGGAGGGCTAAAAAAACCCCTCACTGCAGTGCTGAATACAGGCACTACCGGGAACTGTATTCAAACACACCATTCTAATCCTGTTATCTCCTCAACCTGTTATTCTGGGGGTAAAAACTAACGTTTTATATCTGTCTTTCCTTTAACCAACCTTCAACCCCGTGTCTGGTCTTAACCTTAAGCATTCTCTCTCTTTTCCCCATTCCCTGCTGAGCAGCTCTTCCCTCTGACTGACAGTTCACTGGTTTGTGCCTCAAGGTCATTTAAGCTTTTCCAGTCCTACGTTATGACCTACCCCAGTCTCTGAAAAAACAAATAACCTAAAACCCAAAACAAGCAAAAAAAAATAAAATAAAATAATAAAAATCATTCATGCAGGCTTTGCCATATTTTCTGGCATTTGGCTTTTCCTGGAAGGAGGCAAGCTGGGACTTAATTTCCAGTATCATTTCTAAAGATCAAATATTAAGCAAGTCTTGCAATGCTGTCCTGGGGAAAATCAAAAGGATCACCAGTGGGTAACAGATGCCTGGGCACATACTGCTTATAGAAATTTGCATAAGATATTATCCAGTTTAATAAAACTCCATTGTGCTCATTTAAAGCAGGACCTTTCATAATTAGTTTTTAGGGGTTTTATCTAATGAAAAATTTTTTCAACTCCATGTAAACAACTTCCATTCAGTCTGATCAAAAATCTGAAACTCATGGATGATTTTGGTAAGAGCTGCATCACGGTGTAATGAGTTTAAGTTCATCCTGAGCCATCCTGGCCATGTTTTTGCTCTGATTCAAGGCTGACAGTCAGAAAACAAATGAACTTTGTAAATGAGCTCCTGTTGCTTAATTTTAAGTGGAAGAAAAACATAGTCCTTCCCAATCCTTTTCTAATTTTTATTTTCATATCTAAATAAGAATCTCACTGCAACACTGAAGGCTAAATTGAAGGCTATGCCAGCACTTATTCAGCCTTCCCAGAACACAAATACTCTATGTGAAAAGAGTATTTAGTACAAGGGACATTGACTTCTCAATTTTGGAATGTGTCAGACATGTTCTGTTTATTGTTACACTGATTTCTTGCAATTTAAATAAAGTAAATACTTCCCCCAGCACAGGTGATATTCTCTACTATTCTGCAGTCAATTTTGTTATCTTTATTTGTGGGCTTAATAAACACAGCACAACACTAAACAGTGCAGTAAAACAGGGCTGCTCCAGTGCTCTACTGATTGCCTACAAATGTGGAGGAGTTTGGTACTTCCCTCTCTTGCTAAGGCAAAGTAATGACAAATAAAAGAACCAAGAAAATTCACTTGAAAAAAGCAGCATCACTCATCCCTCAACTATTTAAAAACCCCTCAGTTTTCCCTGATGTCGTTCATTAGGTGCTCCCAGGAAAATCAAGGCAGCAGAGCTGTTTTCTCAGTTCAGCACATTTTTTTTTTAAAATCTCTACCGTGAAAGTTTTGCGTAATTATCCTCAAAATGGGGTATTTTGAAGGAGTTCCACGAATGTGCAAATTGGAATAATGAACTGCATTTTCTTGTCTGTCATTTCAGTCGGCATTTGGTGCAAGTTGCACATCTTTAGCTGTTAAGTCTCTCCCTCCAAGTCCACGCTTAGATCAAGATCATTCTGATTTCTCCCACCCGGTGCCCTGAAGAAAACATAAATGCCATCGCCATCAATCTCAACAAGCTCTGCATGACAGCTAACATTAACAGAATGACCTTCTCCAGTTAGATTTTCATTAGGAAAATAGGATGGAAAACAGAAAGTGGCTCAGCCAATTTGAACAAATTACCCACGTCATCCCTCTCGATGTCAGTCGATACCTGAGCCGAGCAAGGAAACTCGGCACTTTGGGACCCAGGACTAGACATCATTAAGCACAAAGGCAACATCCTGTTATTTTAACCCCTGAATTAAACCAAAGCCAGCATCCTCTACAGGTGATGCAGAGAATGTGCCTGCAAAGGGCAACACGATGAGCTACAGAGCAAATCTCAGCACATCATATCTCCATCTGCAAATGCACAGTCCCAGGCCAGGCCTGCAGTTATTTCTGATGATGGTCAGAGAATTTGACCACACTAGTGCAGGAGAAGAAAGCCAAAAGATGAGCAGCAGAGCACGTGCCAACTTTCCTAAACAGGCCAGGACATCTTCCATGTCACTTCACGCTTTCCACAAAGCTGCAGCACAAAGCCTTTAAACATCTGATGGACAGGGCAAACACCTCTGTGCCAGGGCCTCATGCTCAGATTTATTTATTTGGAACCAAATCTCCTCAAACAGACACTAAATATTCACTGATTTCTAACCTGTATAATAAAGGATGTGCCCCACTCACACCCAACAACACAATCAACCTGCCAGGCTTCCTCCCTCGGTAGAGGAAGGGGGTGCTGCTGGGGGTGCTCCTGCTGTGGGCAGTGGGTGAGGACCACGAACATTTCCCTGCTTAATCCCATTCCAGCATGGCATTTGGCTGCTCTGGATGCCTTCCTCACACTTCAGTCTCGATATTTTGTCAGAAAAAGTAACTGGAACCAAGATGCTTTTGTGTAAGATTTCCACTGCTCGAATCCGCTTGCTGTAAACCACTCATTTGTGGGGAGGGAAAAAAGGTTATGGAAAAGGGCAGAGCAACCTTTTAGTCTCTGTCCTTTGTTCCCTCCACAGTAAGGACCTTGGAAAAAATTACAAAAAGGCAAACTTTGAGAAGACAGTCGTGTGCTGGAAAAAAACTGGGAGGCAGAAAAGTGCTTTGCTCATCCCCTTGCCAGGCAGAGCTTGATTTCCCTTAATGGCTAATGATTAATGTATGACAACAGAGTGCACAGCCAATATATCTGAAACATGAGGAACATGATCCTTTAGATTTTCCTGGGAAGGCTTAGAAAGAAGATAGACTCCTTCTGTCCCTGGATCAAAATTGATCCACTCCAATATGAAAGAGGAAAGGAGGATGGTGCACAGTGTTTGAACGGGTTTCTCTGTCAGAAGTGAGGAGAAGAATCATCTCCATCAAATGGAACACAAAAATGCATTTTAAAAACTAAATGCCTCCTCTTTCACCACACTGCCCTCAAACTGGTATCAGTGTCAAGGTGTTAATAAACAAACACTCCTGATTCATTACCCAAGAACTTGTTATGCAAAATTCTGTTATGCACTTAGAGGTGAGTATTAAATCACAGACTGGCCTTAAGAACAATTTTGGTCAGAAAACTCTCCTCTCTGCCCATTTCAACAAAAAGCAGCCACACACTGAGGCAAAACTTAGTCAAATACATCACATGCATAAAACCAACACCTGCCTAGGGAATAAAACATAAACTATTCCAGGATGCATCTAAATTCATAAAGTCAATTCAGACGGCACACCTACAGCGAGGAAGGGAACCGAAGTGTCCCGAAGCAGCAGCAATCCTACCTGCACACTTGGTCCTGGTGGTGAGGGGGGGCCCAGGGGGGCCTGTTCCTCCTTCCCCGGGGCGCGTGAGCAGCACCCGGATCTCGTACTCCACGTCGGGGTCCAAGTGCCACAGTTTGTAATTGGGGGAGTCCACAATGTGAGTCTCTGCCCAGTTGCCCGTGGTTGTCCGATACTCCACCTCCTTGAGGATGATGGGCCCGTCCCCGATGATGGAGTTGGCGTTGGGTTTGATCCACAGGTACGTGGCTCCCACGGCCAGGAGCTCCGGAGGGGCGATGGGAGTGGGGGGCTCTGCAGACCAAAAGAAATCAAGGAATTCCGTCAGAAAGATCCATTTTCCCCTATATATCCGTGGAGCAAGGCTGTCCCCAAAATCTCTTGTAACGCAGGCACAATTTACCAAACCTCTTATAAGAATTTAATCTGTTCCTGAAAAGAATTGCACTTTTTTGGTGCTAAAAATTCAGCCCCTTTTCCTGGGGGGAGTATTACCAATTCAGAAACACCTGCAGTAACCACAAAGCAACCTTTGTTTAAAATAAAACACAAAAGTCACTTCTAAAAGATCACAGGGTTTATACTTGCTCCCTCTTTTAAGCAATAGCACTCAATATACTGGAGGGTGAGAGGGAAGAAGGAAGTCTTAAATTAAGAAAATGAGTGCATTTAACATAGTCATGAATAAAAAGGCTCCAGTATAGCCCTTTCTCTGCCCTGTGACCTGACACAGCAGAATCTCCCAATCACTGATCTGTGGTTCAGCCAGATTCTCATGCTTAACATGGCACAATTAGCAGCAAGTGGAAAACTCAGATCACTTGCTCGTTTTCTGATTTCAACAGGCAAAATCCAGGTTAAAGACAGGATGTAATTTCTAAGCAAAGCACTGGTTTTGGTCTGAGACAATCCTAGCAAATTTAAGCACTAGGGATCTTCCCATGACCAGTGATACCAGAACTGGCTTAAACTGGGGCTCCTGGAAAACTGAAAACTAAGAAAAACTCGAAGGCAACAGTGAATCGACACCTCCTGTCATGTTTGATTGCAAAGTTTCCTTAACTTCACGAGCAAAGGTACTCAAGGAAGTCTGCATGAGACTTGAAGAGGGTCTGGATGTCTGAGAAGCAGCACGAGGAGGCAGAACTCGGCTGCTGAGCGTCACCTCTGTGAGAAAAGGCAAAGCAAGCTGATAAAAGACACCTCAGCAGCTCCCTTTGATGGGAGCTACAAAACAAAAAAATACAATCTACAGAGCTCTGGCTGCCTGCCTGATTTTTATTATTCCTTTTCTCTTCTCTGTCAGTGTATAAATAACACTTGCATACTGGAAACCACACGAACAGCGAACGCTTTGTGGTTTGGAAAACCTGAGCTGAACTGGGCAGGATTATCAGCAATTTCCTGGATCTCATCAAGTCTTCCCTCTGCCCCACTCTGATGTGGTTTGCCCTCAGCCCAGAGGACACAAACTCTATTCTCTTATGAAGCTAAGGTGACAAAAAAGAAGGTTTTTATCATGAGGGTGTTGAAACACTGGCACAGGTTGCCCAGAGAAGCTGTGGCTGCCCCATCCCTGGAAGTGTCCAAGGCCAGGTTGGACGGGGCTTGGAGCAACCTGGGCTGGTGGAAGGTGTCCCTGCCCATGGCAGGGGGTGGGATGAGATGAGCTTTAAGATCCCTCCCTATCCAAACCATCCTGAGATCCCCATCTCAGAAAAAGAAACCTATAAATGCAACAGCATATCAATAATTTAAAGTTCTGTGAGAGTTACTCTAAATTCCTCTTTTAAAGGTGACCCCTCAAAGAACCCGGAAAACTGAAACAATGCAGGACCCACAAAAGTGTGGAAGGAAAAAGTTTGAGCACCCCACGACAGGAAGAAGATTCTTGCAGGTTAACATCTGCTCAGTGAAGAGAAACAAATGCACAGAAACCTTTATTATACAAAATGATCAACTGAAACGTTACTTAATTTCATTTCCTCTGGCTAACACTAATTACAAGGAGCCCTGCTACCTCCTAGGGATTGACTGCAGGAGTTGTATATTGTACCTCTGCAAAAAAAAAAAAAAAAAAGGCAATCTGAATTGTAATTGCAGCAGGAATCCAACATTTACAAAAACAGTGACACCAGCTATGTTTTCTGTGGAATGTTTATTTTTGTTTTTATTCTGTCCTCTTCCCCTAACTCCTGCCAGAATCTCTTTCTGCTATGAAATGCCGAGCTGATTATGTTTTGACTTACTGAGGTTATTTCTCCAAGAAAACTGTTTTCAAGAAACGCATGCAGATACGTTTTCATTAAAAATCAAATTATTATAAATCACAAGCTGCTTATTACTTGTTTCCTGGTGCAAGACAATTAAAAGACAGACTTGGTGATTTTTATTCCCAATGCAAAAATGACATCTTACAAGTCACATCACAAGACAAATGAAATATTAAACTCCATTCTCCTGGGCTGCACATTTCAATAGCAACGTGATCCAGGTTTCTTTGGGATTTGATGGCAAGTTAGAAGAGATTTATGGGACTGAGCTTAATTAATAGAGCAGTTTATCCTGCTGAACAGACATGAAAATCTCATCTAACAAGTTTAGAAACTACAATTGCCAAACTGATTTAAATTAAGATGTCACGCAGCATTACCATCTTCTCTATTTTAGTCCAAATCTAAACCTTCCTCACCAAAAAGAACTGTAATGGTGGGTTTCTCCCTTCCCCTCGCCCCCATTAATTTTCCCCTTTCTGTACCATTTCAAAAACAGGTGCTGTACAATATTATAATACTAGGAATTTAAACTGTTGCTCCCGTTTTCTGAGTTTAAGAAACTAAGGTGAGCAGCCATTACAACAGTTATTCAGGGCTCAATCCCACCTCACTGAAAACAAAGGATTCTTTCCTACTGGCACCAACTGGAGCAGCAGTTTTTTTTTTAATATCACTGTGCCAAATGACTACAAGTGATCTAAACAAGTTATCCATTATTTAGCAAAACTGGCACAGAAAAAAGGCCCATTTTTTTGCCCTCTGTTCCAAACCCCACTTGTCAGTCACAGATGACCAGCCTGACGTTATGAGCTCACTGTTTTAATTAAAATCTCTATGGGACCTTGATTAAATAAACATGGTGACAGATTGGCCTTTTACACATGGAAGTGTGAACAACAGTGTTTTAAGCCCCATTTCATGCCAACACTATTTTGTATTACAGGCTTTGCCTTGCCTGTTGCTCCTTTTCAGTCATTGTCCCATCCCCCTCCAGACAGGGGGGAGGAAGCCACTGGTACCCCAGGAACAAACACATCTGGAACTGGATTGCTGCAGCTGGAATATCCATCCTGAATTCCAGACTCGGGAAGGACACAGAAAAAACCATGGGAGCTCTCTTTTAAGGAAACAGAAGTAGTACAGGCTCAAAAAAAGGAGGTTATTGACCACGAGCGGATTTTATTCTATGTGCAAAGCAGGTCCAGTTGTGCAGACACAAAGGGAATTTGGGATGTGCCTCTCTCCTCCCACTAGACAAGGAAATACAGCTCAGGAGGCTGAACACTGTTAGAGCTGTAAAATGACATGAATTTTAGCAATACAGAGCGTGAGAAAACAAAACTACCAGGAGGCACAAACCAGAAACCACACAGACTCACAGAGTGTCTCGAGCTGGAAGGAACCCATAAGGATCATCAAATCTGACTCCCTGCTCCTCACAGAACCACCTAAAACTCAACAACACATCGTGACAGGACAAGGGGTGATGGCTTTAAACTGCCAGAGGGCACGGTTGGATGGGATACTGGGAGGAAATCCTTCCCTGTGAGGGTGGGCAGGCCCTGGCACAGGTTGCCCAGAGAAGCTGTGGCTGCCCCATCCCTGGAAGTGTCCAAGGCCAGGTTGGACGGGGCTTGGAGCAGCCTGGTCTAGTGGGAGGTGTCCCTGAGCTTTAATGTCCTTTCCAACCCAAACCATCCCACGATTCTCCATGACTAAGAGCATCATCCAGACACTTCCTGAACTCTTCAAGGCCTGATGCCACCAACACTCTACTTCCTGACTATTGTGGAAAACACACATACTTTACTCTTGGGCAACAGTTTCTGAGTTTTTCTACTCTACCACTGGAATATTTCTCTGTTTGACTTTCTAAGCAATTTTCAGATGATGGAAGAAAAATGGGTTCCACGAATCCCGAAGATGCAACTGGGAAGACTGAAAAACTAGAGAAAAATCCTTGTCACTGCCTCCTGCAAAATAACTCATAAAAAAAAAGATAGTACAGAAAATGTAATCTCAAAGCAGCTGCAGAAACCTCTTAAGCTATGGATTTTATATTAATAACATTCAATTTTTTTTAATTACTTCCTCGTTCATAACAAACCCCCCTGATAACCTATACAGCCAAGGTGATCATGAACTCTCATTTGCATGGGATGGGCTAGGGATGGTTTTAGACAAAAAGAGCCCCCAGTGCTACAGAACTCTGGTACACGACCAAGTTCAACAATTCTGTTCCTGAAGTGCCACCCTGGGCTCCCTCGTTTCGTTCCTGTTTTGTTTTCTCACATGCACACAACACACAGCACAGATCTAAAAATAACATCAGAAGAGACACGTTTTTTTTTCTTATCCTTTGGGGAATGGAGAGGTGGGATGGGAGCTGCTCTCAAAAGACATTTGCCTGACAAGCAGGGTCTGTGTTTTCAAACATGATACCACTTATTCCCCTACTAATGGGAATTGTAAGCTTTTCTCACCACGTCCCAAACGAGCAGCTGTGGACTGTGCCTGCCAAATGGATAAGGATGGCACTGGAAGGCAAGGAAACCAAATTTCAAGCTTCTCAAAACTCTTTTTAAGCAAAAAAAAAAAAAATACAGAACAAAATGCATTTATAGAGTTTTGTACAAAAAGCAAGACTGTCTGAGCAGCATCCTTGGGCACCCCTTCCAGTTTTACACCACAGCAATGAGCAGCCTGAGCTCTGAATGTGGGTATTTATACTGGCAGTGTTTATCAGCACATTTTTACCACCACCACCACAAATGCAGCAGGTGAATTTTGTCTTCCAGTGATTGTCCAAACTTCCACTTATTGCACAAAAAAAAAAAAAAAAAATCACGTGGATTTTACAGTATTTAACGAGATGATTTCACTGTGCTGACACAGCACTAATAGTTTTTGTCTAAAGGAGAGAGACTCAGATGTGTCTCACAGTGATGTGACAGCCTGACAGCAGTGGCATGTGCCAACAGGATTGAAAGACTCTGCCAGAGCATCAGTAAAATCATT